ACCTGCAATCCGGAGAAAAACGCAGTGTCGTTCTGCTTCTCCGATTTCACATTTCAAGCATCAGAAATTCCCTCGGAGAGAGAGAGAGAGAGTTCCTTGGAATTTGGGGAAGAGAGGAGAGACGAAATGAATGAATGTGTTGCGGTGATGGCCGCAGATATGAGCTTTGGCTGAGAGCGAAGGCTGAGGCTGAGAGAGGCTGAGGCTAGAGAGCACGAGAGGAGGCTGAGAGTTTCAGGAGAGGAGGCTGAGGCTGAGAGTTTCAAGAGAGCACGAAGAGAGTTTCAAAAAGATAGGTTTTCAGAGTTATTTTGGGAATAACAAAAATTTCATTAATGAAAGGCTTAAGATTCTGGCACAATCTGAAATTAAAAGCAATAAGTGAGCTATGAGAGTTTCAAGAGAGCACGAAGAGAGTTTCAAAAAGATAGGTTTTCAGGGTTATTTTGGGAATAACAAAAATTTCATTAATGAAAGGCTTAAGATTCTGGCACAATCTGAAATTAAAAGCAATAAGTGAGCTGTTTCTGATTTTAAAAATAGCTTTTAGATTCTCTAAGAATTTATTTTTATGTATTTACCAAATAAAATTGATTTTGACTTCCCAAAATCTCTACCAAACTAAGTCAAAATTAGCGAAGAACATCAAAAAATTGGCAAGGGCTATTAATGGTACTTGAAATGCTCCAAACACTACTTTAATTGCGATATATCAGAAGGAACAACCGAGAATATGCCAGTGAAAAGACCTAGCAGTGTGCGATGGAAAATCTTGAAAGATATAACTAAGCAAATGAGTAATAAAAGAAAGGGATAGATGAAAACTAAGAATAAGCAAACAAATTGCAAGTAAAAAACAAAATAAGGAGAGTAAGACTTTAGGTAATCAACGCTTTCAGTGATGTACGGTAAAAACATAAAGGCTTGCATTCGAAGCATTTCTGTTGCCATGTGCTACAGAAAAGCATAGAGAAATGGAAATAGTAGTAAGAAACCGAGTTTATCATACAGATTATAACTTGCATATCATAGAAATAAAATGAACAAAGCAAGATATAGATTTATGCATGATTCACCAGGTGCATCAAAATAGAAAGGTAAATAGAATAAATGTGTTATATGCGTAAGGTAGAAGCAAATCAAAGGCCAAGTACAAAAATTAAAAACTGTGACAAAACATGGATATTACAGTGTTTTGGTGTAGCAATTATGGCTTAAATATTTAATATTCTTAGCAATGTGCAATGAATAAGCAAACTTATGTATCTACAGTGTTTTGTGGCTGCCTACTAAGGGCAATTGCAGTTTTTGTGGTTGCTAGCTGAGGGCAACTGCACAAAAACACAAAAATTAATAAGTTATTATATTCATCGCACAAATTATAAAGTATATGTCACAAAAGGTGAGTGAGTGGAGTAAAATATGAATTTGTCCAGAGGCTACCAGGTTAATTAGAAGAAGGGGCAAAAAACTTTGATTTCATTTGATATGTAAAAAACAGTAGAAAACCATAGACCAATTAAGAGAATATGATAAGATTAAAAAGCAGAAAAAGCGGAAGACAGAATTAATGAGATGGAAGAAGATACAAAGATTGAAAAGAGAATAGAGCCCAACTCTGCACCTTAATTAAAGAGGATGGAGAACATTGTCTTGAGAAAGAGAGGAAAAAAGAAAGAAAAGAACAACACAGTGATTACATTATAGAATGTGCAGCGATGAGAACCGCATACCTGTATGTCAATATTTGAAGCTTAAGAAGGTAAAATAATAATAATAATAATAATAATAATAATAATAACAATAAGTAAAGGGAAGGAGAAAAACCAATATATGATACATGTAAATAAGTTTTACTGTAAAGGCCTAATAAGATATTGGAGCTAAAGGGGAGAGAACATGAAAAAAGTAGAGAAAAATGACTATATTATATAGATAAGGAAATGTCCCTTGCAGTCCGTTGAAATATTGAAGCTAGAGATAGAAAAATTTGGAATAAAGTAAAAATCAGGAGTTTGCATAGTATAAAAACAGAATGGAAAAATGATGGCTCAGCCTTTAGAAAAAAGAGGTAATGTTTGATGTAGCAATTATGGAAGATATTTAATGTTCTCAGCAATATACAATGAATAAGCAAACTTATGTATCTACAGTATTTTTATGACGGCCTACTAAGGGAAACTGCACATTTTGTGGCTACCAACTAAGGGTAACTGCACAAAAACACATAAGTTAATAAGTTATCATATTCACTGCACAAATTATAAAGTATAAATAAGAAAAGATGAGTGATTGGAGTAAAGTATGAATTTGTCCAATGGCTACCAGGTGGATTAAAAGAAGGGGCAAAAAGAAAATTAAGAGGAAAAAAACCGAAAGAGAGAGAAAAATAATAAGAAGAAAAAAAAAGCAAAAACGACACAAAAACTGGGAACTCAAAATTGCCACAGATTACAGACAATTGGCATATCATTTAATATTTTTGCAGTGAAATGAGAGCAAATAATGAAGCCAGCAAAAGAAATCAGTAATATAGGCATCACAACTCAGCATATTGATAAATGAAACAGAAAAAATCTAAGATTACCCCGCATGCGGTAGAAAAGGAGGCAAAAGAAATTCCAGCCATGCAAACAGATGTCCTGCGAGAAAAGTTCCATGAAAGCAGAGGATGGAGGGCCTGAATCAACAGAACAATATGCATTACCGATCAGGAAATTACATTAGATATTAAGAAGCCAATGATGTAAAAAACAAAAGGGGAAAAAAGGGACGGGAAAAAATAAATGAAAAAAAACCGAACAAAAGTAAGGGGAAAACATGCACTGAAACAAAATTATAAGCAATGAAAAAAAAAATTTGAGAGGAAACAGAATGAAAATTGGACATGAATAACAAATCGAAGCAGCCGAGGAACATAGAAGAAAAAAGAAATAAAAGCCCCAAATTTTCGGCCAAATCAAAGGAAAAGAACGAACAAAGAAAAAACCCATAAGATCCCTCAAATTTTCAACCTAAATCAGTCGAAAATGACCCAAAGCAAGGAAGGAACCCATGAAAAAGAAAAAACGAAAGCCCTAAATTTGGGATCAAACCGAACGGAGCAAAGAAATAGAAGAGCAAACAAATGGAGGAAAAATGCATATAATCCTAAAATTCACAGCCAAATGAAACTAATAAAACAGAAACATTGAGAGGAAAAGGCAAGAAATGCAGGATTTCTAAGAACACAAAAGAACTGAAGAGAAGCACAATGAAACAGAAGAAGGAACCGAAGGGAAAAAAAACAAAAACAAAAAGAAACAAAGAAAAAACACAAACGAAGGAAAAGGAAAATGACAAAAAAATGACACTTAAAAGACCAAAAGGCCTACAGTAGACGAAGGAGGGAGCAATAAATTGAAGATAAAAACGTCATTTTACTGTAAAAAGAACAGTGAACTGACTCTTAATAAACAGTAAACCCTAACTTTTTTTAAATTATTTATAATTTGTGCGAAATCACCAAATACAATTAATAAAGTAATAATACTCCTTGTGAAATCTAACTTTGCCATCTTGCCAATCTATTTTTTCAGACTCATCAATCTCCTCTGTGCGCTCTCTCTCTCCTCTCTCTCCTCTCTCTCCATTCTCTCGATCTCCTCCTCCGATTGTCGCCGGTCTCTCTCTTCTCTCTTTTTGTTCTCTCGGTCTCCCTGTCTGTGCTTGTTTCTGATCTCCTCCGCACGATTGTCGGATTGCCGGTCTCTTTGTTCTCTCGGTCTCCTCCTCCGTTCATCCCTCCCGCCGCCGCCCGCCCGCGCCGAATGGAAGCTGAAGCCGTGACAGATCCTGAATACTATCGGGTTGCCGCCCCTCCCCTCTCCTTCCCTCACCCTCGCCGTCACGAACGTGGCGAAAAGGTGGTGCTTCTTTTTCTTCTTCCAGGTCTTCGGGTCTGATAAGCACAGTCTAAGGTAGAGGGAGCCTGGTCTGGTGGGAGAGGAGATGGAAAAGGGGGGGTGGGCATATTTAGCATATCTAGATTATACAGATATGAGTTTTACCGAGGAAGAGAAAAATCAAAACTGTGTATATTCAAAGATCTGGGGTTGTTATAATCCATCTAGAACTCTTGAAACTTAGAAATTTTGTTTCGATTTATCTGGGCTTTCCCAAAGATGTGATAATTTGTTATAAAGCTTGGACCCAGTTCAATCCGACATCCCCGTAGCACCAATGAGTCTTTTGAAAAGATCAAATCTGAGTTTTTGTTTTTACTGCATAAGGGGGTTGATTTGATTTCAATTTTTCTGGTGATATAAAAGTAAGGATGTTAGATTGGTTCATGAGGTCAAGTGCTGCAAAGTGTGTGAAGAACAGAGAAGAAGAATTAAGAAAGGATGTTATGTTTTTAGGATTGTTTGGTTTCACATTTGATTGTGGTATAAGAAAAGGAATAGTTGGGTTTGGTTGTGGTATTATTAAGAATTAAAAAGAATGAGACGTATATTTTGTCTCTATGATAATAAAGTAGACTGTATATAAAGATTACTTACTGATGCTTAATTTTATTGTAATTAGAATGAAGAAATGAAAAAAAAAAATTATTATAAATTTAAGTTAGAAAACTCAAGATCAAATTATGTTTTTATTTTTTTTTAAAGTTACACAAGTATTTCTTCATAACAAACATAAGTATACATATTTAAATTTTATATCACGTCTATTTTGGTTATCTTAATTACTCACATCAATTCAATTTTATAATTTATCAAATATTATTACACTGCTTTTAAAATCAACAATACTTGTATAATTAGTTTACTAAATATTCAACTATTTTTTATAACAGCTATTTTTTTTAACACAATTAAAAATAATTTTTTTAAAATCTACGGCACTTTTAAAATCAACAATACTTGTATAATTAGTTTACTAAATATTCAACTACTTTTTATAACAGTTATTTTTTTTTAACACAATTAAAAATAATTTTTTTAAAATCTACGGCCCTACTAAACTGACCTTATTTATAGCATGTAAATGTATGATGGAAACAAGCTATAAAAGAAATTTAACTACAACCAAACCAATTATTACAATGAAACTATATTTGTATATGTTAAATGTTCTCTTATATTATCTGCGGCCAAAAAATTGAACCCGGCTTTACTTTCTCTGTGACTGCGAGCCTGATAAAAGCTTCAATGCTTCTTCCATGGTCGGTCTGTCAGTTGGCCTACTCCTGGTACAAAGCAAAGCAACTTCAAGTACGACTTTTATGTCCTCTTGTATAGATGTGCTAGAACCCACTTCATTGTCGCCGAGAACATCAGCGAACAGGACTTCTATTGGCTTGTTCTGTATGCTTACCTCTGCATTGGTTGACCTGCCATTTGTTAAAATTTCGAGCAGCATCTCCCCGAACCTGTACATATCCATGTAAAGCTCCTCTTTTATGGTGCTGCTGAATTCACCTGGCCAAATATTGAGCATAATCGTTAGAACTACATGGGTTTCTATCACATGCAGAGGTTTATCTTGTGTTTGGTATAGAAAATGACAGTTTCAAGAAAAGGTATGCGTATGAGATTTGAAAGAACACACTATTACGCATACCTGTTTCCCTCCCTGAATCTGTTGCTGCAATTGAATCTTTGTTCAAATCAAGCATATATTTGATTCCGAATTCTGCCAAATGGGGTTCAATGTTTTCATCGAACACTATGTTACTCGATCTCAAATTTCCATGGGGAATCGCGGGAAAACAGTCATGATGTAGGAAGCACAATCCCTTTGCAATTCCCATCACAATTCTGTGCTTTGTTGCCCAGTCCCTTCTCATGCCAATCCTATCAGCCAGAGTTCCATTCGGCAAGTAATCATACAAAAGATAAGCTGTATGCTTGTTGTAGCAAAGCCCCAGCAGTCTAGTCAGATTCTTATGCCTTGCATTCCCTATTTTGGTTATAAATTCCAGCATAGGCTTCATCCTCTTTGCTTGCCAGTCAATCTTCTTCACTGAAACAGTTATCCCCGTGGGTAAAACTGCTTTGCATACTGAACCTGGTGGTGATGGCATGGTGTCATCCAAGGATTTTGCAGAAGTGAAGCTTCTCAAGACATCATTCACCGTGAACTGAGGAAGTCCACTGAAGGAGATCATCTTCCATTGTCCTTTACTGCCTCTACGAAGGTAAACTATTGCTAGTATTGAAAGCGCGATCAACATAACTGCACCTACAGAGATTAGCACCACCCATATAACCTGTCCCGTTCTTTTGCTTCCAAATATTCCCATTGAACCGGAGCATGATTGCAGAGGAGCTCCGCATAGCTTCGAATTTCCAGTAAATGCACTTCTACCCATTGTTCTAAACTGCTTTTCTGAGGGAATGGAGCCGGAAATATCGTTGAAAGACACATTTAGTAGTTGTAAGCTTGAAGAATGACTGAACTTGGCAGGTATTGGTCCAGCGAAACTATTGTGTGAGAGATCTATGACAGTAAGATCAGGAAGACTTGCAAGCTCATCAGGTATATGACCCGTAAAATTATTGTTTGCTAAAGCAACCTTCTCAAGAGAATGGCAACTGGAAATGCTTACTGGTAGAGATCCTGATAAACGGTTCATGTTCAGTTCAATAACAGTAACGGAATCGCAGCCTTGAAATGGAGGTATATTTCCAGAAATACCACACGAAGATGCTGAAAAATTCTGAAGAATAGGCAAAGTCCACGTTTTAGGAGGAATTTTACCACCTAACTGCGGGTTATCAGAAATGTTGAAGTACTGAAGTTTGATAGCTTGGAACAAATCTGTTGGAATCCCTCCACTAAAGTTGTTTCTGGATAGATCAACGTATGTGATATCAGGAAGATAGCTAAATTTCAAAGGGATCTCACCTGAGAAGGAGTTATTTTCCAGTCTAAGACGAACAAGTGAGGGACAATTGGAGAGAGACGGTGAAAGACTACCCGTAAAATAATTGGAAAACAGGATTAGCTTATACAATCCCCCTTTTGCACAGATATCTGGTGGAATAGTGCCCATGAAATTGTTTGTGGAGACATCGACCCACTTGAGTTTTGAGTTCCTCCCCAAGCTCTGCGGAAGTGTCCCATTAAAGAAATTGTTCCATATAAGAAGAGTCTCAAGTGATGGAAGCTCGGCAATTTGGTCAGGAACCGTGCCACTCATGGCGTTGTACATTAGACTCAGCAGTTTAAGATTCTTCAACTCTGAGAAGCTCTTGGGGATCGTCCCAGTAATTAGATTATCTGAAAGATCCAAGCTTGTAAGAGGCGCAATTCTGCTGACTTCCGATGGTATAGCTCCAGTCAGCTGGTTTCTGAAGAGAAATAATGACTCAAGCTTGGTGAGATTGCTGAGTTCCTTTGGTATTGGGCCAGAGAGGTTAGCACCAGCAATATCAAGATACTGGAGCTCACTCATGTTGCCCAATTGCCAAGGGATACCTCCTTGGTAAGAATTGTAGCCAATCTCCATGTGGGTTACTGTTTTGAGCTTTCCCAATTCTGGTGGAATGTTTCCTCCAAGAAAATTCCCTGCAAAATGGAGAAACTCAAGCTTCTTGAATGAGCCGTACTCTGATGGGATTGGTCCCTTGAAATAACTCCCAGCAAAGTTTAGAATCTTGAGATTTTCAAGCTGTGAAATATCGGCTGGTAATGACCCTGAGAAGCTGTTGCTGAAAGCATCTAGCACAATGAGGTTCCGAAGACCGGAGATTCCATGCGGGAAGTGACCGGAAAAGTTGTTTCTGCTGATGTCCAAGGTTTTAAGATTGCTGAGGTTGAAGATTCCCAGGGGAAGCTGCCCAGAGAATGAGTTGTAACTAATGTTAAGATCAACGAGCTCAGTGAAAATGTCGAATTGCTTCCCGGAGATTGCACCACCGAGGCTCTTTGCAGACAGGTCTAGAGCAACAACGGTTGTGGAATTCTTGTCGCAAGAGACACCAGACCAAGAACATACAGAGGTTTTCCCAGATGGAATTGCTTCAGAAGGCAAAGACCAGTCACTAAGACTATCATACTCATCTATGATCTCAACTTTTAAGCTCAGAAGCGCCTCTGAGTAGAGATCAACGGCTGAAACTGCTGTGAAGAACACCGAAGCAGCAAGAAGATTATAGTAGAAAGAATGGAAAATCTCCATTGGAAATTGCAGTTGGAAGAAATAAGCAAACAATTCTAGACACCCCAAGTAAAGAAAATTGGTTGTGTCAGATTAGAATGAGGATTGCATTTGTTTTGTTCAGGGAGTGGCTGCATGGGGAATAGAGAAAATGGTGCATAAAGGGATGGAAATGACTGTATATGATTAGTTGAGATGAGAATATTATTGGGTTGCTTTTGGAAACAAGAGGGGACCCTTATGCTGTTTGTTTATTTAAATTGTGTTGGCCATTAGGGAATAAAGCCTTCATTATCAGAGGGCATCTTTTTCTTGCTTTTACCTTAAGAGTATCCTATAAGTTTCCTGCTGTGGCCAAATTTTGAATTGGGATTTGAACGCTGTGGGACATAAAACCAAAATCATCTAAATCCTTGTTTATGATATAAAAGTAGTAAAGTTGTTATGTTTGGTTTCTTTTTGGACGGCTTGGGTCGGTTGAAGGAAATTGCTGAATTTCTAGGTGGACTATTATGTCAAAAATATGTAAACGTATTATCTCAAAGAATATATATTAAATCCAGATAATCTATAATCTATAACTATATAAGAAATGGGAATGCATTTAGTGTAGTTCTTCCATTTTGTCTTTTTTTTTTTTTTACTTTCTTTCATAAACTTTCAATCCTCTAAAATATACATTTAACAAACATAACCCTTAAAATAATTTTTTTACCCCATTGAAATAATTATTTCAAATACATCCTTATTTGAAGGTTTTTTTCTTTTTTCTTTTTTCTTTTTTCCTCTTTTCTAACCTTCATTTCAATCCTCTAAAATATACATTTAACAAATATACCCCTTAAAATATATTTTTTTACCCCACTAATATAATTATTTTAAATACATCTTTATTTAAAGTTTATTTTTTTCATATGTACGCTTTGATTAATTTTCTACTTGGTTCATAGTTTAATTAATAATATGTTATACTTATCTATTCATATATAACATTCAACCTCAACACAAGGTTAATTGAAATGTGTATTTTAGTGCATCTCCTTCTAATAAAACATTATTATTCTAGGGTTATCTTATTCAAATAATATTTTCCTTCTAATATCACATTATTGAAATAAGTTTTCTCAAATACGCCCTCACTTTAATATTTTTTTTCTTATATATATACATATTAAATACATCTCTTCGGTACTTATCTTAATCTTTACTCATTACTATTTTCTTCTATTTTGTCACTCTATCTCTCTGTCTGTTTTTTTTTTTTTTTCCTTTACGACTCTTTTTTTTTTTTTTTTTTTTCCCTTTTTCTCCTTTTTTTTTTTTTTTTTTTTCCTTTTCGCCTTTTTTTTTTTTTTTTTTTTTTTTGTGTTTTTATACCTAAATGTAATATTTTGAATGTTTCACTAGATTTTTTCTCCTATTAAAATAGTTTTTCTCAAACAAGTCCCCACTTAATTTTTTTTTTCTTACAATCCTCTAAAAAGTTCTTTATTAAATGTGGCCTTTATAAATACTTCTCTTTTTCCTAATTGTAGCTCTGAATGTTTTTTCCTCAAATATAGCCCTTGAAAGTTCAATTGTTAAACAAATAAAAAATTAATAATCTCATAATAAAATCCTAACTTGCTATTAAAGTTCTTATAACACGTCACATCATCCCTCTAGAATCTAAAGAATACAGGAGTCATGCTCATGAGCAACTGCTTGAACTGTTTTCTTTGACTAAATAATTCGTTGCAACTTAATCTTTAAAGTAATCATGGCGCATAATGCTGGTCTAATAAGAATTTGAAGGGGAATATTTTATCATGATTACGATTCCTGTGAGAAAAGGTCTCGTTGTACAACATGGGGCAAGGAGGTATTATGTTAACGGCTATGAAAATTATCCTTTTCCTGTTTCTGAAACAAGCTATCATTAGGTATACTTATTTCATTCCTAGTGCACGAAGGGAAAAGTAAATCTTTTTTTATTTTACTTCTTTTAATGCTTTTGCTTTCTACAACCTGACTTAATAGTAATCCTCTCCATAAGCGTTACACATTTTTACTGCAGGACCATCTTGGCAAATATCTTTTTTATTTTGATAAGAGTTTCTTCTATAATCCGTCATATTTATAATCTCAATTTATAATTATTAAATTTAATTAAAATCACACATTTTAATATAAATTTAATAGTTAAGAGATAAGCGACTGTCAAATGTTTATTTTTTCAAAGACTCTAGAGAAAGTTTTTTTTATTTTTCTCTATTCTTTTGTCTTTTTTGGTTATGTGACTTGGAAACAAAAGTCAAACTGATACATAACAAGAAATAATAATGGCATCAATACAAAGTACATGGTACACACTAGTGTTGGAACTTCGGGTCGGCCCCGAAGCCTGAATTTTTCGGGCTCGGGTGGGCTAGCCTAATTGCCGACCAGTCCAAGCTTTATTTTCGGGCTCGGGCTCAGGCAGCTCGAATTTAAAATTAACTCTGGAGCCCGCCGCCGTGTAGTCGCCGTTTACTGGCGTCCGCCGGAATTTTTTTGAATTTTTCCAACCAAGCCCGAATTGCCCGACCCGAAGAATGCCCGAAAAATGGTCAAAGTTTGACCGTTGGAGCCCGACCCGAATTGAAGCCCGAAAACCCGAAATGCTCGAAGTGCCTAAATGCCCGATTTACCCATCCAACGGCTAGTGTTTTGAATTTCGGCCCAATTTTCTGTCTAAAGCCGCCCAAAAACCCGAATGCCCGAACTACCTGAACGGGCCGATTGCCCGAATTACCCGTCCAACGGCTAGTTTTTTGAATTTTCGCCCGAATTTTGCCCGAACCCGCCCGAACCTGACCCGCCGAATCAAAAATAGCCGTTGCATCCCGATTTTTTTGAAAAAATATCAATTTTTTAACCCGAAACTATAAATACCCCCCATCCCCCACACATTTTTCTTACTCAAACTCTCTCAATCCCTCTCAATTTCTCTCAATCTCTCTCAATCTCTCTCACAATTTTTCTAAAAACTATCACATTATCCTAAAGCTCTCTCTCTCTCAATCGCTTGTATTTTTTTATAATGGTTTCTTTTGGTTATATTGGTATTCCCGTTGATGCCCAACACAATGTAGAAGAAGGGTAATTTCCCACTAATGAGTTTGTTGCGCAGGAATCTACTAATCCGAGCCTTAGTGGACGTATTGGAGGTCGTGGCGCAATAGTGGTGGACGTGGAGAAGCGGCAAGTGTAAGTGCGACTACGTTTGCGTCGGCAAGTGTTGTAACCTCCAGGAGGAAATGCAAGCGTACCTCGACAGTTTGGGACCACTTCGACATAATTGACGAGATGGACAATGAAGGTAACACTAAACATATAGCTCAGTGTAAATATTGTTTATCTAAATTATAAGGTGACACTATTCACGGCACCACACACTTGAGACGACACTCTGAAAAGTGTCTTCAAAAGCTTAGCCAATCCGGCGGACCCGAACTCCGCTAAACACAATTATCTTTTGATCGCGCAATCGGTGTTCTAACCACTTAGAAATACGATCCACAAGTAGATCGTATGGAAGTTGCACGAATGATAACTGCTTTAGATCAACCACTTAGTTTTGCAGAGCATCCTAATTGGCAACGATATATTAATTTTGTACATAATCCTAATGCACAGTTCACTTCAAAAACTACTCTTAGGAAAGATTTATTAAAATTATTTAAAAAAGAAAAAGAAGCATTAATAAACCTTTTACACTCGACTAGCGGGTGCATTGCATTAACGGCAGCTATTTGGTCTACCGTTGCCAATAAAGATTATTTAGCTGTAATCGGACATTACTTTAAATGATTTGATTTAGATAAGAGAATATTAGGTTTTAAATGTGTTCTAGGATCACATAGCGTGGATTTAATATATAACACAATTTTAAATGTAATTGATGAATTTAGATTAAAAGATAAAGTAATGGCTATAACATTAGATAATGCTAGTGCCAATATAAAAGCAATTGAATTCTTTGAAAATGATTTAAGCCTATTCAGTGATGGTACTATTTTCCACCAACGTTGTGCATGTCACGTAATCAATTTAATAGCTAAATCCGGTTTAAAAGAAATGAGTAATCACATTAAAAGAATTAGAGATAGTCTTGCATGAATTCAAGGTAGTAACCAAAGACAAGAAGATTAGTTTAGGTTCTTACAAGCATTAAATATACCTCCTACAACATTAGCGTTAGATATGCCTATAAGATAGAACTCAACTTATATTATGCTTCAACAATGCATCCCCTATAAGGATGCTATAACAAACTATATGTGTGCAAAATTAGGAGTAGAACATATAGATGCATTTGATTGGCAAATTGCCGAAGTTTTGTATCAATTTTTAGGTAGGTTTCATGAAGTTACTCTAAAACTTAGTGGAACATATTACCCAACATCACCTTTAGCTTTAGGAGAACTTTTAAGAATTAGTATTTTATTTAGCGAATATAGGGAGGACCCAATCTTAGGAGTTCCTATTCATTCTATGGAAACTAAATTTAAAAAATATTGGTCTAAGTTGCCTTTGTTATATGGTTTAGGTACAATTTTTTATCCTAGATTAAAATTAGACGGATTAGAAAGTGGTTTAGAAAACTTAGGTGAATTTTTAGGCATCACTTATACGGACCAATTTTCAATAATAAAGGCAAAAATATATGAGATCTATAGTAAATATGAGATTAGGTTTAGAAGCACAAATTCGAGAGTACAGGAACCGCAACAACAAGATGAAAACCCGCATTCATTCTTGAATGTTTTTGGGTTAAAGAAGAAGAAGAAGACTACTCGAACAGAAGCTGGGAGTGGAAGTGGATCTTCATCAACAAGTTGTAGTGGCGGCGGCAGCTTCAACAAGCTTATGGCGTACCTCAGTGAAGGTTTAGTAGTCGATGATACTAGAGAATTATTTGACTTAGTGCAATGGTGGAGGGCACGAGCATTAACTTGGCCAATCCTAACTTGATTGACAATGGATATATTTTCAATCCCAGTGTCCACTATTTCATCCGAACAAGCCTTCAGTACGACAGGAAGAATACTTGAGGAACACTGAAATGCATTGCAAAGGGACATTGTTGAAGCCTTAGTCTGCATTAAGGATTGGGATCGGGCCGATCAACGTCTACAGAATACAATTTTGCCGGCAAGCCAAGAATGGATCAATGAATTTAATCGATTAACATTTAATTTTGAAGACGATCCTTCAGCTTCAAATCAAATTGTAAATTTGTAA